CAGGAAGGAAGTTAATCCTCCTGATATCTTGAGATACTAGTTATTAGCCCCTCTCCAGGGAACCAAGCTGTTCCCGAACTCTAGGAAAAGACCCACAGGAACCAGGTCTTTATACTAGCCGCTGTTATGAACCAAGTTAACTATAGCTATCTTCCTTGTATTGCTCCTGAGAATAACAAACTCAGGGAAACAAAATGTGCCCAGAAAAGAGCAGCACCAAGCAGATCGGATTTCTGGATTTGCCAAATACCTGCCCATCCATGGCAAAAGCTCATTGCTATAGCTGTCTATGTGAAATACAATAATTCCACCAAGTGTAGTGTAATGATCGTTCATCATGCATTTCTTGAACATCTGCACATAGACAGTTTTGCAATGGATCTTTTGTTAAAAAGATTTCTGAGATAAGTAAGCCCCAGAGGACTAAAGTGCCAAATTAGAATTCAGGCTAAGGATCATAGAAGTATCAGGGACCTTAAGAGTTCCCAATTTCCATGGTTTTTCTGTTTGGGTTCTAGAGTCCTATAGTTGCTTGCTACATGAGAAGGGCCTGGACAAGGGTGGGGGTGACCTGAAGCTATCCAATCTCATTTATCCAAAGCAGCTAGCTCTTTGTTTACATATTAAGCTTCCTCTTAGGATTACAGTTGTGAAAATCACTGGTCTAGTCCAGTGCCTCCATTTTATAGAGAAGGAAACTAAAACCTAGAGATAAGTGTAAATGATACACTTGATATGACACAGCTGGTCATGACAACTAAGATTAGACTTCAGGCTTCTGACTTTTTTTTTTTTTTAGGCTTCTGACTCTTAATGCAGCTCTGTTTCCACGACAACAGACTATAATTCTAATCTGAGCTCTACATAGTCACCTTGTTACCTAAGGGAATTCTTTCACTTGGTTTCCGTATCAGAAAGGAATATTGGCCCGGGATTTAGCTCAGTGGTGCCACCGCCTGCCTCTCAAGCACAAGGTCCCGAGTTCGATCCCTGGTACCAAAAAAAAAAGAAGAAAAAAAGAAAGGAATATTACTAATACAGGCAACACCCTATAGTAGTGCTAGTGCAGACTGTAGAGAGGTGAGGTTTAATCAAAGAAATGACCAAGGCCTTCCTTGTTTTGAACCTTGCCTCATATGTCCTATGTTGCTATCCTCAGACCTTTGCCTTCAAAGGCTGCCTCCAAGCATTCCTTCATTCCTTTAGGGAGAGAGCATTTTGAACCCTATGACCTCTCTGAGTACAATCTCCCTAATACTTACTCAGACTGACTGGTCAGGCACTCAGAGCTGGGACCTCCCTGGTTAAAGAGAAGCACACTGAGTTTGTAACCCTGGTAGCACAAATGCAGAATATGCCTGTCTGCTTGGTTTTCAGGATAGCTTGGGCACTGTGGAGCGGACTCGGGATTCTGAAGGCTCCTTCAAACTAGAAGATCCCACAGAAGTAACCCCAGGATTGAGCTTCTTCAACCCTGTCTGTGCCACTCCCAATAGCAAGGTACGGGAGCTAGAAGACAGGCACTAGAAAACTATGTTAGCATCCTTCTCTGCATTAGCTATGACAGAGCCTGGTGAGAAAAAGATATAATCAGCTTACTGAGAACTGGGAATCAGGAGTAGACTAGTGTAGGGTTTTATTGTTGTTGTTGGTTTGGTTTGGTTTTTTGCATTACTAAGGATAGAACCCAGGACCTTATGCATGCAAGGTAAATGTTCTGCCACTGAGCTATACCCCCAAGCCTTCTTAAGTTTCATTTTGAGATATAATCTCACTGAGGTTCCCAGGCTGACCTTGAACTTGGCAATCCTCTTGCCTCAGCCTCCTAAATAGCTAGGATTATAGGCATGCACCACCATACCCTGCTAGAATGTTTTTTTTAAATTCAGCTATCTTAAGGACACCTCATAATACTGGGAGTATATTAAGCATTTGTAGTGACTCAACTAGCCTGGCCTTCTGCCCCTATCCAGGGTCTATTCATATCTGTCTCTGTCTTTCCTAGATCTTGAAAGAGATGCATGAAGTGGAGCAGGGGCTATCAAAGAAGACTGCTCCGGCTCTCTCTTCTTTTGACCTCCCAGAATCAAAACATATTGCAACAGAATCCCAAGAAAATAAAGCTCCAGGGAAGAAAAGGAAGCGGGCTCTGGCCAGCAATACCAGCTTCTTCTCTGGCTGCTCCCCTATCGAAGAAGAGGCCCACTGAGTTGGATTCATCATCTAGACCCCTATCTGCCTTGGGAGACTTGTTCAGGTTGCAGTCAAGAGAAATTTTTAATGACTACTCTGGATTTCAGGTGTCTTGCTGTTGAGGGGACAGAATGTTACTAAAAAGATGGGAACCTTTGTTGAATGTTGGCCCTCAGTCTCCTGCCCCTTGTCCCAGACTGCTTCTACTCTTTCTTCTCCAGAAGATACTAAGCCACCTACTGAAGAGAGAACCAACTGACCTTCCCCTAGTGACTTGTCAGGAACCAGTCCCCAGTAGGATCTAGCTCTTCCTTGCTTTTGAGCAGTTGTCTTCTATGTCATCTCAGCTTATGGAGGAGCCTGGCCCAGAATGGAAGCCTGACTCAAATCCTTTGCCTCACCTCAGGAATAGAGCTGGAATCTTTCCTGCCTTCACTCTGGATTTTAAGTCTTTTAAGAAGACCTTCATTTGTCTGCCATGTTAGTGAAGTAAATGAAGTATTTTAAAATGTTAAATAAATAAAGCTTAACCTGTCTACTGTTCAGGAAGATCCTTCTGCACTACAGGGAGAAATAAAATTTTAACCTGTGTTCTTAAGCCTCTGAGCTTAGAACTATTAGGGAGATTCATCACAGGTTCCTAACCCTTCCTGCCCTTTTTGGGAAAGTTGCTTTAGGGATGGAACCTGGGCCTTGTGTGTGCTAATAAGCACATGCTCTACCACAGGGCTACATCCCCAGCCTACCCTAATCTTTCCCAGAGGATAGTGTAGAATATAATGTATTTATGTTGCTTTGCTACCCTAGGAAATTGGAGCAATGTTTCCAGAGCCAGTAGCCTCACCACTGTAGAACCTGCCTGGCCTCCAGATTTGGGAGGAAGGAACCACATTTACTAAGCAGCTCAATGTTCCTGCCATGATTTTCTTTATCCTTCACCACAAAAATGCTCAGGATATTTGCAAATGAGGAAACAGAATGTGTTAGTCAGTTTCACATCACTATACCTGAGATAAACAGCTTACAAAGAGAATGGGTTGATTTTGATCCACAGTTTTGGACATACCAGTCCACGCTCTCTTGGCTCTGTTGCTTGTGGGCCTATGGTAAGGCAGTGTGTCACAACAGAAGAAAGTGGCAGAGCAAAACTCATTTCATGTCCAAGATGCAAAACATAGGAAGAGGAAGGAGGGAGGGGTCTCCCAATGAAGTGAAGACCTCTGCCAGGCCCCTCCTCTTAAAGGTTCCACAGCTCTCAAAGTGTGTCATGGGCTGGAGACCAAGCCTTAAATACATGGGCCTTTGGGGGACATTTAAGGATCCAAGGTATAGCACTGAGGTACCAAGAAGTTAGATAATTTATCTAGAGTCACAAAGTTAGTGAGTAAGTAATAGAGCTAGGACTTGAACCCAGATCTCGTGTGTCTAATGCCCTGCTGTCTGCTTTATGGACATGGGATAGGCATGGGACCACACTACTGTTCAGTTCCAGGGCCGAATAGCGTTGGCTTCTTACTGTCTCCTTTGAAAGGGGAAAGAAGAGGCAGGGGTTACTCCTTACTATACATCAGGCTCTCCATCTCTGCTTAAAATTAGGAGGGCAGCCCTGGAATGCCATACACAGGCTGCCAACTGCACATGTAGCCTTCTGAGATTTCCCAAGCCCTGGGGACCATATCCATAAATGTTAAATCCCAGTCCCCTTCCCCTACAAAACTTTCAGTACTGGCCCCAAGAACTGGAAAGCCAAGACTCTAGAATCCACCCCTGAGCAAGCAAAGGAAACTGAACTGCAACCTGCTTAGAATAAAGCTGGGAGAGAACTGGGTGACCCGCTGGCCCTCGGCCTCCTGCCAGCAAGCAACCCTGCTTCTCTTTGCATTTTAATTCCAAGGGAGCCTCTGTGGTTGCCAGCTAGAGCCTCCTGATACAATGGGAAGGCAGAGAGGGAGGGGGAGGGCTCTTGGCAGAAGAGAGCTAGTCTTCCTTGTCACTGTTGGAAATCCAGTGCATGTAGGGGGAGGGGGCAGGCTTAACCCAGGAGAGGATATCCTTTCCCAACAACACCCTGCTAGCCTCCAGACCTAAATCACTGCATCAGCCAAAATGCAGAGAGGGACTCTGATCAAGCCAGCCCCCAACCCACACCGACCTCTGTGCCTTACCCGAAGCTGACTACAGCTTGCTAGGCCACCCTCTCCATCTGATGCTACAGTAACAGCGTCTTTTGTATGTGTTCATCTTCCAAAAGCCTGCAACCCCAACATACTATACGCCCTTCAAGCGATTCTTGAGAAGAAATTAAAGATTCTCTGGACACAACAGCGGCAATGATGCAAGTCTTGATGTGTCTTGAATGAACATCTGTGTCAAGTGATGGGGGAAGGGAAGGACTGCAAAGTATCACCTGGAATCCACAAGGCCCATGGGGACCCCTGGCCCAGAAACTGAGCAAGCTGCTGCCCAGAGTTCAGGAAGTAGCTTTACAACTACATCTGTTATAGATGCACCTTGCAGAAGTGGAAGTAGGAGCCCAAGAGAAAAGGGGGGCTAATAAATTGAGGCTATAGTCCCAGTGGGCTTGAGACTAGACATTAGACTTCCTCACACACATGTAGGCCTTTCCAGGGGGCTGGCAGGGCCCCTTCTCACTGCCAACTTGCAGATCACCTCCCCCCAGCTTCCCACACCATTCCCTCAGCCCTGCCTCCCTAAGCAGGACAAAGCCTCAGCAGTGACTGAGAGGGAAATAAAGGGAAGGACAGAAAAGGCTGCACAAAAGAATTCCTCTCCCCCAGTCCCCCTGACCGCCAATGAGTAAAGAAGCAGATCTGCTCTCCCTCCCACCCTTGCTGGCCCAGGCCAGAGAGCAGCTGTATACCTCCAGAGAGGACACATACATTGTCCTGTAGGTGGCAATAGTACCACCTGTTTGACCGGTGGGGCTGAGCCAAGGACTGGAAGAGGGAGGAGGCAAACAACTCAGAGAGAAGCTGTAAAGCAATACAGACCAGAGAGCAGAGCAGAGAGCAGAGCTGCGGCTGAGAAAAGGTGTGAGGGTTTGGAGGCTGAGGGCTACAGGTGGGAGGTGGGGGGTGAGGACCGGCTCTGCCCGGCAGGGAGGCAGGGGTCAGGCCCAGCACTTGGGCAGCACCCGACAGATCCCCTGCTTAGGGTTTCAGATCCCCTGCTTAGGGTTTCTAAGCTGCTGAGACTCTGATCCAATACAACAGCCAGCTCTTGGAGGGAGGTGGGATTCTGGAAGGCAGTCTGGGGTGCAGGAGTAGGACCCCAAGGGAGGCTGAGGTTCGGACTGGGGTTCAGAACAGGGCCCTGCACGCCAGCCTCAGAATGGGCAGAGACAGGGTCCTCCCTTTGGCTTGACTGTCTCTTGGGAAGGAGCTCAGGGACAAGGGAGAGGTTTCCTTCCCCCACTCCAATCCCTACTCCTTCATCCCCTACCCCAGCCCTCCTTTCCCAAGGCAAGCATAGAGTAAGGGAGGCAGCTTTAGGAGCAGCCACATTCTTCCTCTTTACAGGGGCATAGCCAGTTTACCCCCTAAGACTACACAGCCTCTAGGGGAACCTGGACAACAAGTGGTCCTGTCTCTTAGGCCACACACATGCACATGCGCGTGCGTGCGGACACACACACACACACACACTTTGGGTGTATCGAGGGGCTCCTTTACATAGTGTCATCTAGAAACCCGTTTGTACTGATAGCCACTAGTGCACACATAGATACATATGCTGACACAAATCACACACCACTCACATGGAGTCACAGTTACATGCCCAGCTTGTAGATCATTTTGATCTCACAGCCAGAAGCATAAGGCACAAGGATCCCCAGCCCCAAGATAACCATGTCCCCATACACATGCACCTTTGTCCTGTGTGTGTTGTACTTTCACCAAAGCTAACTCAGAGGGTGGGGCCCCTGCAAGGTGGAAGGTGGGGACTGGGTTTCTGGTTGAGGTGGGGGGATGACTGGGCAGGAAAGGACAAGACTGTGGGGGGAGTGCTTGGATTTCCCAGATTGTGCTTTTAAGGAAAAGTGTCCTTTAGATGGCTGGAAATGACCCCCTCAAGTCTTCCTCTTATTGGAAGTGTCCTCTGCTCTATGGATAGTAGACACAGAGAATCTTTTAGTGGGGGCTTTGTGGTCTGTATAATCTCCGTATCCATAGCAACTAGCCAACTATCTGGGCCTCCCTTTGCCCCAGGTCAGAGCTGGAACCTCTGCTTCAGATTGCTCCTACTTCCTGGGGTAGAAGGTAACTAAATCAACATGGGGCTGCCTCAAACTTGGCCAGATTTGCCTCAACTTGCTGAACTGAGTTTGCCCCACCCTGGGAAGTTTCTCCTGAGTCTCCACCCTGGCCACTCCATTCCCTTAGCTGGATGTTGTTAAGTAGGGAGGAGCTGGAGAAAATGGGTATGCATTCTGTCTACATGTCCCACTGACTTTCCAGATACCAACGATAAAGGTAAAAAAGAAAGACCCCAGACACTACCCCCCTTTGCCAGGCTTGGAGCCAGGGCTTTTCGCCTCACCCAATCCTGTGCTCTGGGCCTGGCCTGCCCAGTGACCTCCCTCTGCTGCTGAGCCCTCAGGCTCCTCAGATACACTGGGAGAGAGGCTGGGATTTGCCCTCTGCCAAGGTCCCTGATGGCCAAGTGTGCTTTCCCCTAGGCCTCACCATGGCTGAGTCCCCTGGCTGCTGCTCCATCTGGGCCCACTGCCTTCACTGCCTGTATAGCTGCCACTGGAGGAAATGCCCCAAAGAGAGAATGCAAGCCAGCAAGGTGGAGTAGGGGTGGATGGGGGAGGCTGGAAATTAGAAGACAGAGGATGACTGGAGGGGATAAGGAGGCCAGTTGTGCTCATAGGCAGTTGGGAGGAAGGGATTTTCTCTCCCCAGGAGAAAATCTCCCTCAAATATGGAAAAAGCTGCCCAGAGTAGACAGGAAGGGCAGGGCAGGAGGCACCCTTATCTCCTTTGGGGACTCATCATGAAATGGAGATCAGCTGTGAGCTTCTCTCCTGCTCCTTTGCAGTGCGACTGTATCTGGTTTGGCCTGCTCTTCCTCACCTTCCTCCTCTCCCTCAGCTGGTTGTACATCGGGCTCATCCTTCTCAATGACCTGCACAACTTCAATGAGTGTGTCATGGACCGACCCTCTTCCTCAGCATATTTGTCAACCTATGCCCCGCCCTGGCCCCTGGGTGCTCAGCTCCCACTGTCAGCCCATGCCTAACCCCTCAAGCTTGGCTGTCCTGTTACCCAACCTCCCTAGAAAATCCCTCCACAAAATCTCCCCAACCCTTGGAGCCCCTGGCCCTATAAAGTGCTTGCCCCTCACTCCCTTCTCATCCTTCTTTTGGAGCCACCCACCCCAACTCCTCTCAGGCCACTATTGCAACCCCTTCCTTCACTTGGACATCTCCTTCTCCCCTCCCACAGATTCCTATTCCACCACTGGGGACACTGGATGGACTGGTCCCCAGCATTCCTGCTGGTCATCTCTCTACTGGTCACATATGCATCACTGCTATTGGTGGGTCCAGGGGTGGCTGGTCCAACTCCCATTTTACCCATTTTTTCCTGCTTGGCTCTACCTTCTTATTCCCATTCTGGCCATTGAGGGAAGGGGGCTGATTGCTGGGTGGGAGAGAAGGCAGTGTCAGCTGGTAAAGCCCACGTCAGTGATCTTGTTCCCCTCTTGGCACCTCCTAAGTCCCACTACCCCTTGCCCCCAGCTCCTGGCCCTGCTCCTGCATCTCTGTGGACAGCCGCTGCATCTGCACAGTCTCCACAAGGTAGGGCAGGGGTGGCGATGAGTGTGAGAGGGGTGGCAGGGCCATTTGCTGAAGACTGTTTTATCCTTGGGGTTGAGCCCCACACCTGAAACCCAGGAAATATTTGTTGAGTGAAAAAAGGAAAGTGGATGTGTCTAGGAAAGGGAAAGATACTGTCTCAATAGAGAAGACCCAGGTAACCATTAGCTCAAGCTGACAAAGAGGGGCCCATTCATCCCTGCCCCTCCAAGGTGCTGCTCCTCTTCATTTTGCTTCTTGTGGCCACTGGCCTTGTGGGACTGGACATCCAGTGGCGGCAGGAGTGGCATAGCTTACGTCTGTCATTGCAGGTGAGTAGCCAATCTTCAGTGACCAGGTGGGAGCCTTGGGCTGCAGTCAATCCCAGATTATATATTGCTCCCTGGTCCCTCAAGCCAGCAGGTAGCTTAGAAATTCTGAAGGTCGGGCTCCAAGAAGGGGAGGGGCACTAGGAAGAAAGCCCTCCTCACCAGCTTTTGTCAACAGGCCACAGCTCCATTCCTTCATATTGGAGCAGTCGCTGGAATCACCCTCCTGGCCTGGCCTGTGGCTGATACCTTCTACCGCATCCACTCAAGAGGTGCCAACTCCACCCCACCCTCCTTCACTGGTCATCCATACTTCTGGCTCCCTCTACTCACCCAGTTTCTAGCACCTGCAGCCTGATTTCCACCCTTAGAGTTCCTCCACTACCCTTTCCCCAAAGACTGTCCTCCCACTCCCCGCAGGTCCCAAGATTCTTCTACTCTTCCTATTTTTTGGAGTTGTCCTTGTCTTCTACTTGGCCCCTCTGTGCATCTCTTCACCCTGCATCATGGAACCCAGAGACTTACCTCCCAAGCCCGGGCTGGTGGGACACCGAGGGGCCCCGATGGTGAGTGGTGGGCAGAATGCTGGAAGGGTGGGAAGGGTCTGCTCCTTGGGCTGCAGCAGTCAGGCCTGTGGGTACCCAGACTCCTGCCCTCCCCTACTACCTCGTCACCAATTTCCTTTCTCAGTTGGCCCCCGAGAACACACTGATGTCCCTGCGGAAGATGGCTGAATGTGGAGCTGCTGTGTTTGAGACTGATGTGATGGTCAGGTGATGGAGGGTGGGGCTCAGGGGATCTGGGGAGTGATGGACACATTGGAAGAGCTCAGGAAAAGATAACCAGGGCCGAGGATTTAGCTCAGTGGTGCCACTGCCTGCCTCGCAAGTGCAAGGTCCAGTACCAAAAAAAAAAAAAAGATGATCAGCCCCAGACTTGGCCCTCTGACGCACACTGTACCCTCAGCTCCGACGGGGTCCCCTTCCTCATGCATGATGAGAAGCTAAGCAGAACCACGGATGTAGCCTCTGTGTTCCCATCCCGAATCACAGCCCACAGCAGTGACTTCTCCTGGGCAGAACTGAAGAGACTTAACGCTGGGGCCTGGTTCCTAGAGGTGAGAATGGCATCTGGGAAAAGGCAATCACCTGCAGGGACACTCAGAGAGGACAGAGTTCATTCCACTGATAAGTTTTTGCTGAGCCCTGTGCTGGCCAGAAGGAGCAGTGTCTGCCTTCAAGTCACCCCACCTACAGTAGTAAAGAAGAGAGCCTATTTAACAGGCAGCTAGAACAGGAAACCTAGAACAATAAAAATACATTTCCTGGGCAAAAAGGAGAGAGAAAAATCACACTGCTCTTTGGCCACAGGTGTAGGAGCGATCAGGAGTGGATTTGCACAGGAGAGGAGGCATAGCAGCCTGTGATATAAGAGTTTGCTCCTGAGATGGACAAAGCAGGCCAGGTGTGGTGGCACACACTTATAATGCCAGAGCTGAGGTAGGAAGATCACAAGTTTGAGTACTGCCTGGGCAACTTAGCTATACCCTGTGTTAAAAATAAAAGTACTGGGGATATAAGTCAGTGATAGAGTGTCCTTGGGTTCAATCCCCAGCACTGCAAAATAAATAAAGTAAAATAGAAGGGACTAGGAATTCTTTTTGCAGTGCTGGGAATGAAATCCAGACCCTTGCACATGCTAGGCATAGTGCTGTGCTGCTGAGCTACACCCCCAATCCATGGGACAAGGAATTCTAGTCAGAGAGAAGAGCATGTATAAAAACCAAGTATGAAAAAATGTGTTCCTAGAGAACAAAAAGTGGTTCAACACAACTAGGAGATACAATTCATGGAAGTGGTGGGATGCAAAGACTTGGTCTTAAAGGACTTTGAAAGCCTGGCGTGGTGTGCAAATCTGTAGTCCCAGCACTTGGGAGGCTGAGACTGGAGGATTGCCATGAGTTCGAGGCCAGCCTGGACTACATAGTGAGTTCAAGGCCAGCCTGAGCTACATAGTGAGACCCTGCCTCAAAAGACAAATTTAAAAAAAAAAGGAAGAAGGGTGTCTTTGAACGCCAGACCCAGAAATGTTATCTTCAATCCTGTAGGTGGTGCAAAAATATTTAAAAGGATACTTTATTTTTCATTTCTTCTTTTCCTGATTACAAAAGTAATACCCATTCATTGTAAAAGAGTAAGTCATCAGAGAAATAAAGCAGAAATTGAAGTTCTCCCATAATCTAACTCATCTGAAATAGTCACTGTTGGAAATACACACACATATATTTATATAAATTTATATATGTACATAATTTATAAATATATTACATTTAAATTACATATATATTGTGCATATAAATTATATACATTTATACATTATACAAATTTATTATATAAATTTATATGCATATTTTATGAAAGTATACATATATTATGAATAAATTATATTACATAAATATATAAATATATATATATATTTAGTACTTTAAAATATATAATGTATATATACACATTATATACACTTTATTTTTGTATATACATTTTATTTTGCATAAATAGGATCATGACATAGACTGTAGCAATTTGCTTTTTTAAAAAATTTAACTATAGGGCTGGGGATTTAGCTCAGTGGCACTGTGCCTGCCTCGAAAGCACAGGTCCTGAGTTTGACCCCCAGTGCCGCAAAGAAAAAAAAATTAACTATAAGCAGGCATAGTAGTGCACACTTGTAATCCCAGCACACGGGGAGGCTGAGGCAAGAGGATCACAAACTTGAGTCTGGCCTGGGCAACTTAGTGAGACTTAGCCCCAAAATAAAAATAAAAAGGGCTGAGAATCTAGTTCAGTGTGAAGGCCCTGAGTTTAATCTCCAGTGCCACAATCAATCAATATAAAAATATAGCTATATATGATGGCATATCAAAGTGATTAAGAGCTAGGGATGTCTGGGCTTGAATTATGCCCCCATCACTTACTAACTATGTGACCTTGGGCAACATTTCTTAGTCATTCTGTGCCTCGGTTTCCTTGTTTGTACAATTGGAATAGGAACAATACCTACCTTGTAGCATTATTGGGAGGATTAAGTCAGTTAATACAAAGTTCTTAGAACATTGTCTTGCACAGAGTAAATACTACAATAAGTACTCAATAGTGTTAGCTTTATCCCTGTCAGGGATTAGAAGATGAGATCATTCCTTGATAACAAAGGGAAAGAGAGCAGAATGGCAGAAGCTTGGAATAGCCACTGGGTGAATGGGAAAGGGAGCAGATTAACAGCAAGTAAAAGTTTTGCTAAGCAGCACTGAGCAAGAAACAGAACTACAATGCCAACTGTCCCTATGGCAGTGTTCATCCCTCAGATCTAGGGGTAGAGAAGGCAGATAGTGAATCAAAGTTTGAAAATTGTAGGGCAGGTGGGACAGGAAGGGAGCTGGTAGCACTGTAGAAAAGAATTTGAAGCTATGGATGGACCATGCCTAGGGATGCGGGTGCAGCGAAAGAAAGCTGATGACTTGAGAGGAAACCAAGGGTTAAGATCCCATAAGATGGAAGAGAAGGTGTAGTTGGAGAAAGAAATGAAACTAGAAGGATAGGAGGTTGAGGTCACAGAGTAGGGTATGGTATTAGATGGTCGGGAAGAGAGCCACAGTTTAGAAGAAGAAAGATCAGACTCAGAGATAAGCAGCAGCATGACACTAAGTGAGGGACATAAGAGGAGATGGCAAGGATAAGGGGAAAGTCTGGGGGCTTCTTCTGGTATTGAAATGATTTTCCTTTCTCATAGAGGAAACCCTTCTGGAGAGCCAAGCAGCTGTCAGGGCCTGATCGGAAAGAAGCTGAGAATCAGACAGTACCAACATTAGAAGAGCTATTGAAGGCAGCAGAAGCCCTCAACCTTTCCATCATGTTTGACTTGCGCCGACCTCCACGAAACCACACATATTATGACACTTTTGTGAACCAGACATTGGAGACTGTGCTGAGTGCAAGGGTGCCCCAAGCCATGGTGATGTTGCCATGGCTCCCAAGAGCCCCATTTTGTCCTCCTTCCCACTATGCCTTTTCAAAGCCTTGATTTTGAAACTGCCTCTTGCCCCAGTACCACATCCACCCCAACCCAGCTCACATAGTCCATTCTGTAGCCAAACCTCTCTGCCCCTCCCCTGTCCCTTGAATCCCTAGGTCTTCCTCATCTTCATGCCCATCTTCCCTGAACCACAGATCCTTTGGCTACCAGATGAAGATAGGGCTAATGTCCAACAACGGGCACCCAGAATGCGCCAGATATATGGACAGCAGAGAGGCAACAGAACAGAGAAGCCCCAGTTTCTCAACCTCCCCTATCAAGACTTGCCATTGTTGGATATCAAGTGAGTGCCAGAGAATAGAATCGAGGTGATCCCATGGCCTAATGGAAGGGAAGAGCCAATGCAGCGAAGGCAAAGGCAATTCATTTATTTACTCATATGACAAATATTTATTGAATACCTGTGTATCAGGTAGTATATATTTCAGCTTTTGGGGGTGCAAACATACATAAGACAGACAAGGAATTCCACTTTCATGGAATTTACGTACTAGTGAAAGAGCTAGATAGTAACTCACTTAAAATGCATGCATATTGAGTAGTGCTAAGTATTATGGAAAAAAAAACCCAGGGAGATGTAGTAGTGATTGGGGTTCAGAGTGAGGGGCTAGTGCAGGAGGCAGGGCAGCTACATTAAGAAGAATGGATAAAGAGGTGATGTCTGAACTGAGACCTGATGGTTACAAGAAGCTAACTATGGGAAGAGCAGGGATAACACCCCAAAGATCAAGGGTAGGCAGGGGCCAAACTGGGCAGGGTTTTGTAGGCCATAAGGATTTTAGCTTTTATTCTACACCAAAAAGACCAGAGTAGGGTTGGGGGCATAGCTCAGCAGTAAAGGATTTGCCTAGCATGCAAGAGGCTGTAGGTTCCATCCCCAGGACTTAAGAAAACACACACACACACACACACACACACACACACACACACACACACACACACAGAGGTGTAAGAGAGGATAAATTTAGGAAAGAATTGGGAGAGTCCCAGATGTGAACTGGGCTGCAGAAGCTGACCCAGCAGTAAACATGATCGATTTCAAAACATGAGGTTGCCAAGGTCTTTTATAATGTCCCTGTGGTCGGATAAAAAAATGTGAACCTAATGATAGCTCAGTTACCATAAGTATTTCAAGGACCCTTCCCCAAGTTGTCACCGTGGAAGGAAACATGACAGAATCTTTCACCTTCACCTTGTCTGGTCAAAATGGACTGCTGATCATGTTTCCAAAAGATGTGAATGGGTAATGAATACACTAATGACAAGTCAAGGCTTTGAAAGGCCTAACTACTTTAAAATGATGGGTCAAAACTAGCAAGATGAAATGCAACAGAGATGTAAAGACCTATATTTGGGACCCAAAAGAATTTCAATCACACAAACACAACAGAGGAGACATTGGCACCAGCAGGGACATATCTGAAAAAGCCCAGGGCATTGAACAGTGGGCATAGTGAATCGTCAGTGGGAGATGGCATTACCAGACCTAACCTGACTCCGGTCTGCCCACATATAGGCATAGTGTCCAGAGGCAGGAGGAGATAATTTTGGCCTACTGAAAGCTGCTCCAAGCTCACCCAGGATAACATGTTGAAAAGCAGGCTCCATATTTTCAAAGGAACATTGATAAAGTGGAGCAAAGCCAGATTAGAAAAGCTTGTACGGTAAAGGAAATAATAAACCAGGCCTCAAGAGTAATAGTTGAAGGCACTGAGCACGTTGGGCCTGGAGAAGTGAAAGCTTAAGGAGGTTTGGCCTCTGTTCCTCAGGCCTCTGAAGAGCTATCATGAAACAAAGGAAAGAGACAAATTTGTGTGGCTCCACATAGCAAAGTTAGCGCTGGTGGATGGAATCTACCAGGAGACAAGAGTCCAGGTATGCAAAAAAAAAAAAAAATCACCTTTGGTCAAGGGATTGCTATGCAGAGTTAGAAGTGATACTAGCCTTGGCAGTGAGACTAAATTCAAGAACATGCAGGGAGCTGCCACCCGTGCCTCATGCACCACCATTCTGGATGTCCCATTTCTTTCCCACTTTGACAGGGCACTGCACCAAGATAATGTCTCAGTGAACCTATTTGTAGTGAACAAGCCCTGGCTCTTCTCTCTGCTGTGGTGTGCGGGGATCGATTCGGTCACCACCAACGATTGCCAGCTGCTGCAGCAGATGCATTACCCCATCTGGCTTATTGTAAGGGCTCTGGGACTATTGCCATTCCCTTTCTTCTCCCATCTCTGATTCTCCTTAACCCTGTCCATTTTGTCCTTACTTATTTTCTCCCATATTCCACCTTTGGGAGTCTGGTCCCTGACAAGGGTCTTTCCCTATTTCAACAGCCTCCTCAAACCTACTTAATGATGTGGATCATTACTAATTGTGTCTCCACCCTGCTGCTTTTGTGCATCTTCCTCCTCCAAGGGTAAGTGCTTTTTGCCTCAGCTTTCTGGGTCCTTACTTTCTCCAGATCCCTAGTGATGAGGCTGATTCAGACTCATATGTGCTGCCTGGGACTGGGGTTTGCTTTATTCGTTCCTTTGAGATCCTTAAGTCCTTTTTTATATCGCCAAATTGACTTGAACCTGGGAAAAACAGTTTGAGGGTTGGAAGGTCCTGCTTGAAGCTGGCTGAACTCACAAAGGAAAGCTTTTCTTCCTATAGGAGATGCGCTAAGGAGAGAGAGAGAACTGGTAAGGACTTTCACCCCTCACCTCACTTTCTCCTCCTAGCCTTCCTTTCGCTCACTCCATATGTGACCCACCCTCTGTTCACCTCTCCAGGCTTAGAAACAGCAGTGCTGCTGACCAGGATCAACAATTTCATGACAGAGTGAACACCCTGCCCTGCCCTTGCCCCATGTGGAGTCTAAGGCCTGTCTTCATTGGTTACCTGCAAAAGAGGGAATGGGGCTGAAGTGGACTATTTTGGAGTAGTGTGTTTTGGTGGAGGGCAATTTTGCCAACAGGAGGTTTGAACCACAAGGCCCTCTGCCTAGATGATGGGCAGGCCTCAAGCTGCCAGGAAATCTGCTTCTCTTGGGGTTTTGACATGGGGCAGTTGAGAAGACAGTGAGTCATGAGAAGTTTCTCCTAAAATGAAACTAGAATGAGGAAGTAAAAGAGCAATTGCCAAGATAATGTCTTAGACTTGGGTGCACGCATTCTTGCATAGAAGGCACAAGGTGTGTCGGGGGTGGGACAGCTTGGGATAAAGATGGATAAAATGACCTTTCCTGGAGCACTCTAAGAAGATGGCGACACAGTCCCCATTTCATGCAATTCAGCAAGGGCTAGGAGATAAAGAGCCCATCTAGTCATGTAATTCTGTATTTACAGGTGGCTTTTTGCTGTACACAATATTTTCTTCAAGATTGGATGGTTCCCGTGGCTTGTCTGTTAATCTGTTACTTAAATCCTATTTGATCACACTCTAATCTTTTCTGCGCTGGGGCTGGGAGGGGACACCTTCCGTCTAGGGTTGGATGTAACATGACATTAAAGGGTCATGATGGGGAGATTCGTGGGTTGGAGGTGGGAGGAGAACCACCTGCTACAATAAAGGACTGCCAGAGGGGAGGTTTACAGGAGCCGCCTAGGGAGCCGTTCATGGTGGCACAGGCACCCAGCGGAGGGTTGCGTTGTAGCTCCATCTTGTGGTCACCTGCCTCCGGAGGAGGGCCGCCTCCGTCGTCACCGTGACGTATTTTCTGAAAGCTACCTGTTTTCCGTGCCTATTGGGGACTTGGGTCCTTGACTTAGAACTCGGGGGCCACAGTCTGATTTCCACAGGTTTTCGTAACTTTTTTTTTTTTTTTTTTTGTACCGGGGATCGAACTTGGGACCTTGAGCTTGCGAGGCAGGCGCCGGAACCACTGAGCTAAATCCCCGGCCCAGGTTTTCGTAACTTTTGTTCCATAGGTTTCGTTTCTACAGGTTTCTGGTCCAGCCTTCCCCTCCAGGAGCAAGTGTCCCAGTGTATTTGCTGCTTGTGTGTCCCTGGCCTAAGTAGTTGAAGTGGCCAGTGCGGAGCTGGCATAGGATGGGGAAACTGTAGAAAGGGGGAAAGGAAGCTCAGGCAAAAACGAGGAGAGGGCCCTGTGGCTGACCCTACAGTCCTCCATTACACTGACATTCCCCTTGGTTCCCCTAAGTCCAGTCGAATTCAGGGGCTGATCAGTCAGGAGACTCGATTCGCGATTCCTGTTCCCTTGCCGAACTGGGACCTGGGCCGGGGATTTAGCTCAAGTGGTTCCGAAGCCTGCCTCGCAAGCGCAAGGTCCTGAGTTCGATCCCTGGTACCAAACAAACAAACAAACTGGGACCTCTGGACAGGACACTAGCCCCGGGTTGTAGGGTCGCCACGGGAACTACAATTCCCAGTATACCTCTGGGCATTTCCGGTCCCCTTTCGTTCTCGACGCCCCTCCCCCTCATTTCACACACATGCACATAACACTCTCATGCACATACATACTTAGGCAGCCGTCCACAGCAACATACCTGGCCTACAGTTGGTGCGGGGGTCGGGGCACGCGGGGAAGCTGGAGGCTCACAGGCAGCCGGTGCCGCGGTTGCTGCCCCGGTCCAGGTCTTGGGTGTCCACGTAGCCTTCCACCGGGCAGGTCTCCTTCACACACTGCTTTTCAAGCCGTATTTCCTTACTTTTCGCTGTTCCTGAACTCGCCCCTCAGTCAGGCTGACTACTGACCTCAGCTCTGGAATCCCCAGCCTGTCAGGTGCTGCCGGCCTGTCACCTCTTAGCATGTACCACCACCCTTATCCCTTCTTTCTGTCCCCCGTCCGTTCCCCAGGCTAGCAGCACTATCGCCTTCTCATCCCTCCCCTCCCCTTCTGAACACAAACCAGTCCATCTCCAGCTTCTCCACCCCCACAGCCTCAACCTTCCAGCTCCCAGGCTCTCAGCTGCAGTCCTCTAATCTTAGCTTCCAGACTCCCCACCAGAATGCCAGCGCCTAGTCCCAGCCATTGCTTCTAGCCCCTAGCCTTGGGAACTGAGCCCTAGGCCTGTCATGGAAAATCCTTTCTCTCTTCCCAGGAGGACTGGGCAGCTATACTGCACTTAACCTCTGTGAGGCCTTGCGGGAGGAGGGCCAGGGGGAGCTGCTCATTGGGGTTCACTGCAATTATTCGTTATTTTTAGCTGGTGAGTCACAACTCCTGGCATCCTGGTTTGGGGCTAGCAGGCTGGGCTAGGGGGATATTAATAGAGCGGAGGCACAGCCCCGACCCAGTTCAATTTGGAAACAAGGGGAACAAAGATCCTTCCTCTTGCCATCCTACTTTTGTGGAGATGCTGTGGACTGAGGCAATGGCTGGGCCAGATGTTCTCTGGTTGCCAGTAACCTCAGCCTGGTATTGCTACCTTGGAACTCTTGAGGGAAAGCCCACAAGGACATTCCTGGGCACAGCTCTCCCCTAAACTTGCCATGGCTTGGGACTCTGCCACAATGAAGCTTCTGTTGTACTAACTTCAAGGGAAGAGGCAAATCTTGATGGAGAAGTTATTGTGGTTAAGGCCTTGGCCTGCTGTGCTATTCCTGGGCCAGAATGCTAGGTAGCTGGAAGGAAAAGCTGTGGATTTCTGGTACCCAATGACTCTCATAAAGAGATGGTGTTTCAGGGCCTGGGATTTAGCTCAGTGGTGCCGCCGAGTGCCTTGCAAGCACAAGGTCCCAAGTTCTCTCTCCAGTACCAAAGCTGGGATCCCCAAACCAGACATAAAACTAGGAAGCTGCCGAATTCCGTTTACTACCTTCCATTCTTTTATTTCTTTCCCTCTTTCTGGGCTCTGCCCCTATTCACAGGGGTCTACCAACCTCATGATCTCTCCCTTCTCCATAGAGAAACCTAATTCAGGAAAGCCATCAAGAAACTTGCCCCACTAAGGTATGGATGATCATTTACATCCTGTCATTCCTGGGGGCCATTCTACTTTAATGGGCTAAAGTAGGAGTTTCCCAAATGCATACATACATTGGGAATGATCAGGGAAATCTTGATACCTTACTGGACTATTCACCAAAATTATTGCCACCCTCTCCCAATTTGCTAGAATTCCCCTTGACTACAGATGCTCACCCATAGCAATGCTCATTGTCCACCCTTTGTGAATCAGAAAGCTTTGCCTTGAATGATCTAGGTCTCAGGTCCAGATGAAACCACATTTGGGGTGAGGATGCTCGTTTGTCCACACACAAAGACTGAGGTCACTTGATGAAGCTCTATTTTTAAGAATGAGCTCAGATTATGAGACAGCAGCCAGCAGCGCCGCCCCAGCCCCTCTATTTGCTGAAGGGCGGGAGAGGCGGTGGAAGAAGAGAGAAAAGGTTTCTCTCCCCGAAAATCCCTTCCCGGAACACCTCCATAGCCTCAGTCTCAGCACTGGCCCGGTCGCCTAGCAACCACGGCCTCCTGCAGGGGCGTGGGGCTGCTTTCGGCCGATAGGGGGCGTCTGTCTCCCTGGGGCCTTGGGCTAGCACCCTGGGAGGCCCTTTCCTTAAGTGTCAAAGTGTTTCAGTGTAGCTGATCTTCTCCCAGGCTTGTCAGCCTGGTCTATTCTGAGTGTCAGAGAGCCTGTGCATGGGAGAAGCTCACTATAAATCTGAAGAGATCTTATTTGTATTCATCAAAAAATGAAAAGAGTGTAAGGAGAAAGGAAAGATAGGAAGAAGTCAAAGGGGATGGGGCAGGACAAGCTTGTAAGGACAATTAGGCCTTCTCCATTCACACCAGTCTTAGCAATGTTTATTCCTCAATCAGAGTAGTTCAGAAGACCTAAAATATAGGGAGCTTTTTCCCGAGCCACTCTTTAAGATGTAGAAAGGAGTCCAGCAAACTGCTGAGCATGTAAAAGACTGCTGAGATGTAAAGACTGCTTACCAGTCTAGCCTACACTTGGTCATTAAAGAATGTATTTATTGGGTCGGGGTGGTGCCGTGCCTGCCTCACAAGCAGAAGGTCCCAAGTTCAATCCCCAGTACTAAAAAAAAAAAAAAAAAAAAAGTATTTATTTATTCAATAGTAAGTTACACTAATTCAAGTTACACTAATTCACTGTATCAGGTGGTGTGTTAAGTGTTATACATTTAATCATCACAAAAATGCTTTGATTTTCCATTTCACAGATTAAAAAATTGAGTCTCAGAGAAGTTAAATAATATCCAAGGCCACACAATTGGTGACTGAGTTGGATCTGAGCAACTGCTGTGTGCTAGGATCTAAGAATATAGAAATCATGACACTTCTGTCTTTACCTAATGATATTTAGTCTCTTCCCAGCACTGAACTAAAGATGTCATCTCCTTAATGAAACTTCTTTAAGTCCTCCCCTACCCGAGAAATGTTGAGAACATGCTTTTCTGTGCACTCCTCTGAAACAGCCCTTTTCACAAGTATTGGAATAATCTGCTTCCATATTTCTATTTCTCAAACTTTGAGAACCTTGGCAACAAGGCTTGTAAGTTCATCTCCACTTGGATGTCTAATAGGCCTCTCTAATTCAATATGTTCAATTCTGAACTGGCATTTTCCATCATAATGATCCTTTCTAAAGTCACCTTCATCCCCATCAAGAGCAATTTTACTTTCCCAGTTGCTCTGGCAATTTTTTTCTTGGCATTTTACCTATATCCAACCCACCAGCAAATCCTGTCAGCTATATCTTCAAAATATACTCAGAATTCTGCCACTTATTACCTCCAGTCTTACCACCGTAGTCCAAGCCACAACCCCCCTTTAGTTTGATTACTCCTGACTAATCTTGCTGCTTCACCCTTGTCCCCTGTGGCCTGTTGTCCATAAAGAAACCAGACCAATCTTGCTAAAATCAAGCCATATCATCGTAGTTCTCTGTACAAAACCCTCCAATGGCTCCCTAACTCTCTGAAAACAAAGCCACAATCCTTACAGTTGTCTACAGGGCCCTATGCAATCTGTTCCTTATTAAATTCCTAATTTATCTCTTGGTACTCTTCCACTTCCTTACCCTGTTTCAGCCACTTGGTCTTTCTTTCTGTTCCTTGAACAAGCCACATAAACTCTTACCTAGGACCTTTGCACTGGTTGTTCCTTTGCTAGATTTACTTTTCTGAGTGATTCACTTTCTCACCTCCCCTAAAGTCTTTGCTCATATATCAACTTTTCAGTGAGGTCTACCCTGCCCAACCTATTTAAGATTTCTTCTATTCTAACTTCCAGGTTATAGTAAATACTGGGTATAGAAGACCAAGATAAATGACACCATGAGGGAAAAAACAGACAAATCCAGAATGTAGGATATTCTACAAGACAACTGATTAGTACTCTTCAAAAACTCAACATAGTTAATTTTTTTTAAAGATGGGGGACTTTCAGTTCTGGATCCCACCAGAATAGACAAACTTTTCCCTATTCTTCACACTAAGTACAG